CTCGGGTAGTCACCCTCATTCCTCCAGCGGTGATACGCGCGGGTGCGCAGAAAAGAGTGGTGTGTGGCGTCGGGATATAGTTTTTTTTTCCCTGTCGTCGTCTGTTCGNTCCCTTTGCGTCGCGTCCAGTATCAAAGGCCGTATTCGTTCGGAAATTTGATTGGGTTTTGAGTTCCGTCACCATACTTTGGACTCGCTCGGGTAGTCACCCTCATTCCTCCAGCGGTGATACGCGCGGGTGCGCAGAAAAGAGTGGTGTGTGGCGTCGGGATATAGTTTTTTTTTCCCTGTCGTCGTCTGTTCGGGATGATAGCGTGCTCTGCCGCAATATATATTCTTCGTAGCTTTATCCCTTCAAGCGTTGTCATTGAGATGTCGATGTTCCGTCTCGTGACCGTTCGCATTCTTCATCGCAATGATGGTGTGGGGGATTGATTCGGGATATTTCTACAACTCACCCTCCTTTTGGATATTTTGTGAAGAGTCATATCTTCGATTCATGATCATAAATCATCAGCTATAATCTTATTGTAGCTTTAGACTAGGATTTGAGCATTGATTTGAGTATAGAATCTGCATATATATAATATTCAGGGTGGGCTATTGTTAAGGAGTGTGGCTGCTAGCATGAATAAGATACATCTTATTCTTGATAGGATGCGGGTCGGTCGGGAGGTATACCCTTCTGACCCCTACCCCCTTTGAATTGTCTACTCTGTGTACCCCCTGAGATGAAGCTGGATCGCCACTTCATCTCAGACCCTTGCTGATCGTCTCTCAGCAATAACAAGCAACTTTCCCATCTCAACGTGGTCGTGGACAAGCGTGTCAACGACAGAACCTTCATCTACCTCTAGGAGCAAGCTACCGCCCACGGCATCACTCCTTGAAAGCACTCTTTGGAGAAAGGAGTTGGCAGGAGTGATTGTTGGGGCCTCTGTGCTTTCCGAATACTCGTTTCTGTCGCCCAAGGAAGTTGTAATAATATTGTTTTTTTTGTTTGAGCTGGTGTTTGCCGGAATTGTTTATTTTGTTTGGTTTTAGTTTTTTTGGCTTGTTTCGGAGTTCTTTCGGATTTGGTTTTGCGATTGAAATTACACGTGGAAGAATATTTTGATGACATGAAGGCTGCGTTGAAACTATTCAGAAAAGATTATGGTGATGGACAGGGTTAGTTAGTGGTTTGAATCCTTGCGGCAATGTCGTGAAGACCGCTACTATGTTTGTGCTTGTTGTTTCGTTATTTTTCCTTTCTTCGTGTGGCATTTTTCTTGGCAGAAGGACCTATCTACGTTGTCCCCTGTGTGTTTGGCGCGCCTTTCCATGTACCATCGGCCACGGGTAACCCCTCTATTTCTATAAAATGCTGTCTTCGATGCTGTTGTCAATCGTCATTGGGGAGGGAATTGGTGTGTCATGACAATGAATTGCCGCAACATCACGAAGAATGGAATGTTTCGCCTTCNCTACGTTGTCCCCTGTGTGTTTGGCGCGCCTTTCCATGTACCATCGGCCACGGGTAACCCCTCTATTTCTATAAAATGCTGTCTTCGATGCTGTTGTCAATCGTCATTGGGGAGGGAATTGGTGTGTCATGACAATGAATTGCCGCAACATCACGAAGAATGGAATGTTTCGCCTTCTTTCGACGGTCGATTTGCAAAGTTCGGGATTTGATTTCGTTCACAATGTAGGTTGCGGTTTTTAGTGTTGTTGTTGTTCTCAGCACCCAAATATCACAGGATGCGTTTGTCACGATGAAGGTTGATCCCTTGACGTCTGGTGTTCGGAGAAGGGGGGCCATAACCAGACATTAGTGGGTAGGGTATGCAGGAAGAAATGAATTGTTTCGTTGGAAACTGAACGGAGGTTTGTGTTCGAGGAATAATAGGATGAGGCATGGAGTCGAGCATTTTGTGCAAGCATGGATTCATTCTAGTTTTCTGCTGCTTGTGGATGTGATATATCCTCGGAAAGTGACTTGTCCCGGACGGGGTTGTATGTGTATGCGTTTGTGTTTGTTTTCATTTGTTTCTGACATGACCCATTGCGGTTGTTTCCATGATTTGATTGAGTGTTGGATGATTTGATACTGGGAATTTGGAAAATTCATGAGCGACCGATAGAAATTCTTGGTGGTGTTCCTGGCTTAATTTTGCAACCAATGCGGATTCCAATCAGTAGTGTTTCTGATTTAATAGTTTTTGTGAATGTTTTGATCTTTGGAGATTCTGGATACAATGGAGACCGATGAAAATTCTGGTAGGAACAACTAGTGTTTCTGGTTTTATGGTATATTTTGTTGCAAGAGCATGGGAGGAGATGCGACTACTGTTGCACATTGACATTGATTTTTTGAACTTTTAGGATGGGAATCAGCGACCATGCGACCTGGAACGGATCCGGATACTTTCATCACTCATGTTTGGCATCTTGCGGAGCAACTTCGTTTTATTGGAGGAACTGTCACGAATGAGAAGCTTGGAGATATCGTGTTGCAAGGACTGCCACAAGAGTATCAACTGATCAGATACCATGCCAGCTCGAGGCATCAGTACAATGATCTGGAAGACATCGCTCAAACGGCACGGAACATGTGGTACAACAGAAATCGCAAGGATGGCACCATCACGACATTCCAGAATAGGAGGAGCTCTGCACGAGGCACCGGATATTGCAATTACGGAAGAACGGCATCAATCAAGGCGCCGAGATGGAGGACTTACTTTTCGACTCCTCCTACAACACCGATGCCGTCGAGTGTTACCACTGCCACCGTTTCGGACATATTAAACGGAACTACCCAGAGCTGCATTCAGGGAGTGTTCGAACTCCTGCAAGGAACTACAATAGGAACTACAGCAGCAGTGGAATCAGGAGAAATGGATCTACTTTCCAGTCACGGTCACGGAACAACAGTGGGTTCAGAGCATCGAACAACGGATATCAGCAACAGTCAAGATCCAGACGACCTGAACGACAAGGTAGAAACCGTTCTACGCCACAAGACCGCCGTCAGAGACAACAACGGCAGCGAAAATGGTGTTCGTTACACAACACTCATCTACACGACGATTCGGAATGTCGTGCTCAACAACAAGAGAGTCATGGTACACGAACTACAGCGACAGGACGCGGCGGACCGATCATAGATGGATCACAAGTAACAAGACAGGCCAACAATGTTCGTCAACATGTCCAAGACAGGGGCGCTACTTACATCTTCAATCCAAGACTGTACAACAATGACCATCGGACTGTCAGCAGAGCTACCACCGCTCAAGAGGTCACGAGTGGGTCTACGCCCAACAGGAGTGTCCGCACTACTTCACAACCTACTGAAGAGACAGCGGTTGAAGGTTTCGATCGGAACCTTGGATACCCATGCGTTTCTCGCATGGAGATGCTAGCACAACAAGCTGCTTAGTCTATAAGGAATATCATGAAGGAGAATTTAATTTACTGGTGTAAAGTGGAGCATCGGGCCACTACCCGGACGGCGATTTGATACCTGATGTGGACTACATATTCGAAGACTTCGAGTACATCTTCACACCCATGAAGATTATTGGTGCTGGAGGAGTTGAGCTTGAAGGGATCAGCACAGGCATCATCAGCGTATTCGCCAAGGATGAAGATGGAAACGACAGGAGAGTGCGGTTCAAGTGCACTGAGGTTCCAGGATTAGGACGGCACCTGTTCTCTACTGGAACAGCTCAGAAGAATGGTGCGAACACGATCATGTCGGATCAGCCGCGAATCCAGTTACCGACCACTTCAGGAGATGGATCAAGAATCGCCCTAGTGTTACGAGAAGTGGAGACTTTATACTTTCTGGATACGCGACTTGACACGAGTCATCGCGATACCAGCACCCCGATCAACGAGTAGGCCAAAAATACTTGAGATAAAGCATGTGTGGCTGCTGCACGCGCGGAGCCCTACAACCTTTGGCACCGGCGTTTGGGACATTGCCACGAGAACATGATCGAGGCAGCTGCGCGTATCGAAGAAACTGGAGTAAAGCTTACGGACAAAACGGAACCGTGCGAGACGTGCAAAATTCAGAACACGCAGAAGAAACATCCCAAAACGGCACAGCATATTGCTGTTCAGCCGTGTCAGCGGGTTTATACGGATCTACTGGGGCCAACTTCGCCACCTGCAAAGGGCGGATACATTTATGTTAGTAAATTCACTGACGAGTATTCAAGGATGAATATTGTGTATTTGACACGGTCCAAAGACGAGGCTATCAACACACTGGATAGATTTATCCACGACATCGTCATACCGAATGGTTTTCGGTTGGAGCGACTTCGCAGCGATAAGGGAGGCGAATACACAGCAGAGTACTACAGGGACTTCTGCAAGGCCAACAAATGGCATCAGTGAACGTGCTGGACGAACGCTCATCATGAACATCGTTAGATGTTTGATGCACGGAGGAAAACTGCCGGAGTTTTTATGGGGCGAGCTATGTTGCATGACGGTACACTTCACGAATCGACTACCGCATGTGCATCTCAACCATGAGACGCCCTACTACCGGATGTTTGGGAAGCAAGCTTCGCTACGACATCTGCGGGTCATCGGCTCAACGGCATTTGTGCACCTGGAGACGTACAAGTCCAAGCTCGCGAATCGTGCTTGACCGGGGATCCTGATAGGGTATAGCCCCGACAGCCGAGCGTATCGGGTGTTCAATCCGCACACAAAGCGGATAGTGCAGAGCCGGAATGTTACGTTCATCGAACCAATGGATGCGGCCATGCCGCCGGCTATTCCAACACGGGCGGAATTGCGCAACGACGCGGAAAACGAATTATCTGTTTCCTCGGATGTCGTATACATACCGGGAAACGAGGGGGAAATGGATATTCGCAACATGAGGATTTCGAACAAGAACAAGAACAAGAACAAGAACAAGAACAGGAACAGGAAGGAGAACACGAAACAACCCGCATGAATCTGCGAAGTGCTGGAAGGAGCATGGATCATCAACTCGAGATAAAAAACAAAAGACAACAGGGGCAGTCTAGGAAAANTTTCCTCGGATGTCGTATACATACCGGGAAACGAGGGGGAAATGGATATTCGCAACATGAGGATTTCGAACAAGAACAAGAACAAGAACAAGAACAAGAACAGGAACAGGAAGGAGAACACGAAACAACCCGCATGAATCTGCGAAGTGCTGGAAGGAGCATGGATCATCAACTCGAGATAAAAAACAAAAGACAACAGGGGCAGTCTAGGAAAAGCAGGGGAGTTGTCCCTATAGGCTGTCTAGGAAATCGTAGACATACAGGTAGTTTTCTCTGACGCTATTATTCCATTGTTAATCTGTCTCTGACTCTTTTCTATGATAGAGATGGACTCGTTGTGTCATATTGTGTCACGTTTTTTTTTTTTTTGTTATATACGGTGACACCACTCCCGTGTGCCCGCACATCAGCCGCACATACTCCACACATATGCATACCAAACTGAAAATACGTATGTAAACTGATGGATACTGTATGTCCTACAACTAACAGGGTGCCACACACAAAACGCCCGACTAACCAACAGTACCCAACACCTCTCGTCTGCACCTTCCCAAGATAACATATATGAGACACACAAGACAGCTACCAAACTGATTTGTTGAGCCTGTTACCCGCAGGGGAGATGTCCCTATAATATGCTGTCTGGGAAATCGTAGACATACAGGAAGTTTTCTCTGACGCTATGATTCCATTTTTAATCTGTCTATGACTCTTTTCTATGATGGAGATGGACTCGTTGTGTCAAGAAAAAAATAAAAAGACAACAAGCCGAGCTACGGAGGTTATCGCCTTGGAACAGACTGGCTACCTTTGTGAATCAAGATCATCAGAATCAAGACCAAGACATGAGGATCAAGACGCCATCAGCTGGAGAACCTGTCCGGCCGCCAGCATCTAGACTAAACCTATACCAACTACATATTATCGAGAAGCCATGAGGTCTATGGACGCCGATCAATGGAAAGCAGCTATGGACAAGGAAATGAGGGGCCCAAAAGATCATGATGTGGCGGATCTAGTACCAATTCAGAGTCTACCCCCTGGAGCTAACCCCATAGGATCAAGATGGTTGTACAAGATGAAAGCAACTGGAGTAATGCAGGCAAGACTCATCGCACAAGGCTGGGGACAACGACATGGCATCGACTGTGGAGGAACTTATGCACCTGTGCGTCGATTCAGTTCGCAGTTAGTATTGATGGCAATTGCAGCGGAAAGAGGATACGTTGTGGAAACCATGAAAGTGGTAACTGCATTTCTTCAAAGCAACGTGGAAGGAGAAGTGTACGTTCGTCAAGCCAAAAGATACGAAATAACGGATGAAGTTACGGGACTACCACTGGTGATGGAGCTCAAGAAAAGCTCATACGGACTGAAGCAAAGCCCTCGGAACTTCGGCAACGCATTTGCTAAAAGGATTGAAGAAATCGGTTTACTGCTCTTCTAGCTACTGAGTGACCCGTGCGTATATGTGTACGGAGCTGGACCGACCTATAGACTATATGCGATTCTGTGAGTTTTATTTTTTGTTGTTTGTTTTTCTCCCATCATTGGACTCTGTCGTCTGCCCCTCTGGCCCCTATCCTCCACTTCAACTAGCTAGACGACCCAACCGGTGTCAAATAGGAGGGGGGGATTGGACACCCTCCTGCGGTTCATGCCTGAGGTATTTTTATCGCGAGAAGGGACGACTGCACATTAGCCGGAAGGACACCAAGTGTTGTACAAGACTTGAAGAAGCAATTATCGAACAAGTTCAAGGTGACCGATGGAGGACCGGCGGATCTACCACTAGGGATGGAGATTTCTCAACGTGACGGAGAAATCACTGTGAGCCGACACAAATGCGTGATGAATATTCTGGACAAGTACCAGATGGTGGATTGCAAACCAGCAGCAACTTCAGGGAGCGGACCGGAAATTGAACAAGAGCCGGAGAATGCTATCTACTTGAGCGAGGAGGACAAGAAACTCTACCAAGGAATTGTCGTAAGTCTACTCTCCCTGACTAACACAACGAGATGGGAGATTGGATATGCCATGATGATCCTGTGCAGAGGGATGAACAAGTCTACCAATCAAANCTAATCAACATATGGTCGGAGCAAAGAGAGTGCTGAGATACCTTCGAGGATGCCCGGATATGCCACTGAAGTTCAGGAGAGGACAATGGGACCTGAAGTGCTATACTGTGGCGTGAGCTTCGCTGGATCGAGCGAGAGACTTCAGAAGCGTTCTTTACTGGATACATCTTCATACTGGCGGGAGGCGTCATCAGCGCAGCATTTACTCTGGAGAAGCTAACAGCTCAATCAAGCGTACATGTGGAGATCATTGCGATGGCTACAGCAGCTAGGGAAGCCATCTATCTGCAAGGTGTACTATCGGAGATTGGATTTNCCGGATATGCCACTGAAGTTCAGGAGAGGACAATGGGACCTGAAGTGCTATACTGTGGCGTGAGCTTCGCTGGATCGAGCGAGAGACTTCAGAAGCGTTCTTTACTGGATACATCTTCATACTGGCGGGAGGCGTCATCAGCGCAGCATTTACTCTGGAGAAGCTAACAGCTCAATCAAGCGTACATGTGGAGATCATTGCGATGGCTACAGCAGCTAGGGAAGCCATCTATCTGCAAGGTGTACTATCGGAGATTGGATTTCCGTGCAGAAATATTCCGATTCATTCGGATTCTACGGGAGCTATGAGCACAGCAGGAAACTCTATTTTTCGAGGCCGCAGCAAGCTCATCAGCACGAGATACTGGCTACTTCGCCAGAATTTCAACAAGGGAAATATTATGCTGAAGTTCGTGAGGAGTGAGGAGCAGCTTGCGGACATAGATTGACCAAGCATCTGGAACGTGTCCAATTCATCAAACTTCGGACATTGGTTCAAGAATCAGGAAGATATACGAAATAGGAGACGACTGTTTCAGATGTAAATGGACAATACGAGAAGGCTGGTGCGACGACTATATCAATCACACCACCGATCAACCACCACGACAAGGACAACAACTACGACTACCAACAAAAAAGACGGCTACACCGATCACTACCAAGAACGACAAGCAACAACCTGGACGATGACATCATCAGAGGATGGGTCTGGATTTATTTCAAGCGATAAAGAACTTCACATCAGACAACAGCAACAGCACGAGGAGGAAAACAACAAGGACGAAGAATCTGATGGGTTTATTCTTATGACTGAGAGACTCAAGCTTGCACAGCTTGATGAATATCTAGGCAGTGAATTTATGAAAACATTTGATGAGTTTGAAACAACAGGCAAGGGAACTTGTACATAGAGGAGTTGTGTATTTCAATGGAAACTGATTTTTCTGCGCTGGTACACTATTTGCCAACACGGAGCACTAAGACAGTACTGTTCTGTACTGCGAGGTTTTATACCCTTCAAGGAATGTGGAACCAGCGCATGATAGCGACGAATGGAATTGTACCTAGCTATGCCATGAGCAGGCATTTCCATGATGGATTGTTGACCCGTGCAAGGAACGAAGGATCAGATTATTTACAAGAATGAGACCATGAATGAATGGACTGAGAGAAGCCTAAAATCAGAAATCGATTGGGCGAGTAACGAAGAAATAGAACTTGGACGTAAGGGTATAGATGATTGTGTGGAAATTGTAGAAAAGAAAGCGACAGAAACAACTGTAGAGAGCTGTGAACACATCGTGGAGGATAAATTAGGGATGTTACAACATTCAGTAATTAGAGTATTAAAGAACAGCAGTATAGTAGTTCTTTTAAGGACAGCATGACTAGACGTGTCATGTCAAGAATGAAGGATTTTGGAGCAATTTAGAAACTATGGAAGATTTTATTGAGCAGGAACACAACTGAACAGGCAGTTGTTGAAGCATGAGTAACACGCGTAGCGTTATACAATTTATGGGGGCGTGCATAATGCTGGACATTAGGACTATGTACATGAAAATTGGCAGGATTTGTGCAGTAGATTTAGAACAACGATGAGGTTGTTGAAGCATACGTGACATTGCGTCCATCATGGAGGCGTGTTGAAATACAGCGCATTTACTGCTGCAGGATGTGTGTAGTAGCATAGATGCAGCTGTATGATTGCTGTTGTACGCAATGGTACGTAGATGCGGTATAATGAGTGACGTTTGGTAGAACGTAACATATAGCGACGAGTTCTAGCGAGGAGCTCGTTGATGATATGAGAATGAGTTGTAGGGAGATCACGAGGTGTTGCGAGCCCCACCGGGCTCACTCCCAACTATCGCTCGACATCTCACCTCTGCAAGTCAGCTGACTAAAGAAGAAAGTATNTGCGGTATAATGAGTGACGTTTGGTAGAACGTAACATATAGCGACGAGTTCTAGCGAGGAGCTCGTTGATGATATGAGAATGAGTTGTAGGGAGATCACGAGGTGTTGCGAGCCCCACCGGGCTCACTCCCAACTATCGCTCGACATCTCACCTCTGCAAGTCAGCTGACTAAAGAAGAAAGTATAAGTCCCACAAGCGGCACTCAGCAACAACATCGACTTCGGTCACTGTCTCAACAGACTTCGGTCTACACAGACTTCGGTCTGCACATCACACAGACTTCTGTCTGGAACTGCACAAAGGCTTAACCGTCTGCAGACGACCCTTGGGTACAGGGCACCTCGACACGACACATTTCTACAAGGTATGAAAGGTAAACTACGCGGGGTGCAGCAAGCACGTTCTGGACGTTACTTTGGGGCACTGGGTAGTCGGCCGTGTTAGGCCGAGAGAGAGAGGTTGAGAGAGAGTTGGAGAGAGAGTGGGAGAGGGAAACTCGATTGGAGAGAGACGGTGGTGGTGGTGGTGGAGAGAGAGGGAAGAAGAAGAACAAGAGGAAGTGTGCAGCACGCACGCAAGCCTTCCTCATCATCGCACCGACCACGCCCAAAGGGTCCCCGTGACTGCGCCGGCGGTACCCTTCAACACACGAAATTCCCAACACTTGTCCCCCTGGGGTCCTCACGACCATATACTGCTGCGAGTATATCTAACAAGGTAGAATCGAGCAGAGACGCGCTGAGGCGAACCTCTCTCGCCGGCATGCAGCACGAAGCTCAGACGGGCGGGCCGAGGTCATGAGAGGGTCAGCCACTCGAGTGCTACAGGGGGGAAGAGGGCGTATACATNTCCCCGTGACTGCGCCGGCGGTACCCTTCAACACACGAAATTCCCAACACTTGTCCCCCTGGGGTCCTCACGACCATATACTGCTGCGAGTATATCTAACAAGGTAGAATCGAGCAGAGACGCGCTGAGGCGAACCTCTCTCGCCGGCATGCAGCACGAAGCTCAGACGGGCGGGCCGAGGTCATGAGAGGGTCAGCCACTCGAGTGCTACAGGGGGGAAGAGGGCGTATACATCCATCATGGTCGGGAGCGTAGAAATTGCAAGGCAGCAACAAAATGCAGTTGATGTAGTCGAAACTAAAGAACGAGGTGCATCACGACCAAGGGAAGCAGCCACGGCAGTCGAAACGACAGGAGCAGTTGCAACGGGGGCAGTCGAAACTTCTGAGACGGTTGCATTGGAAGCGGTTGGAACCGCAAAGACAGTCGAAACCACCGGGACCGATGTATGTGAAGCAGCCAAATCCAAAGGCACTCATGCCACCGAAACAGATGCACGACGGTCATGAAGCCGTTGGGCACGAGCGGCGGCTTGTGTGCGACTGCTACGCGACGAACAAGGAGGAATGGCCGGCACAGTTTAATTGAAATGCAGTGTGCGGCCAACAACAGAGCCATGAGGCAAGCGTGGCACTACAGAGCCAGTATTGTCAAAGCCAATGTCTGCCCGAACAGCAGAATAAGGCTCAACGGCGGTGGAGGTGAGGGAAAAAGTGGAATCAGCAACATGTGGTTCCGGCGGGAAAACTTGGGACCCACCACCAGCGGCTGCAAAACAGAAGGCTGGGTACTCGAAAGGACAGAGGTGGAAACCGAAGCTTCTGCTGTGGGTGCAGGCAATTTGAGTACAGCACGCACGGGGTTAGCGTCAGTAGAAGCGGTGATGGGGAACTCCTCCCATCGGCGTTGAGCGCNGCACTACAGAGCCAGTATTGTCAAAGCCAATGTCTGCCCGAACAGCAGAATAAGGCTCAACGGCGGTGGAGGTGAGGGAAAAAGTGGAATCAGCAACATGTGGTTCCGGCGGGAAAACTTGGGACCCACCACCAGCGGCTGCAAAACAGAAGGCTGGGTACTCGAAAGGACAGAGGTGGAAACCGAAGCTTCTGCTGTGGGTGCAGGCAATTTGAGTACAGCACGCACGGGGTTAGCGTCAGTAGAAGCGGTGATGGGGAACTCCTCCCATCGGCGTTGAGCGCGAAGCTCTGACAAACGGGTGGCTTCTACGATGGGGCCAGCAGCACTCGCGCCATGAAAAAACGGCAACAACGACGATTGGGAATCGTCGGCTGTCGGCCTGAAAGCCGAAGCACTACTGTGTGTAGACACCAGCGAGCGAGAACACTCTGAGAGCTCTGGACTGGCCGAAGTCGAGTCCGAGGAGCCGACGCTAAGTCGAGACATACCGATCAGCGAGGCAAAGCTAAGATGTGTGGAGACGAAAGCGCAGAAAGCTGCGTGCAGCAGCAGGCTCGAGTCGCCCAAACACAAACCCCAGAAAGCACGCTGTACGTTTATGCCGACAACACCAAGTGTAAAGGATATGCACGCGCGGTGCAATCTGGGAGACGCGAGAAGACGTCACTCACTTGCTATAAACTCTGTGGAACAGCAGTAGCTGTTGCCAAGGGAAGGTAGAGGACTGACCAGGATGGGGCCAGGATCAGCTGTTAAAGCAGGGGCTACACGGGTGGCCAGAGGGCAGGTTGTGTGTGGGTTGTGGGCATCCATAAGGTAGGGATAGGTTGTAGGGGGTGTTCGTGAGTCTGCGAACATTGCTGTTGGATACATGTGCTGGATGATTTTGTGTCACGCAGACTGGTAAGATAACCGTTTGATAGGGGGCACCGCGATGATTCACGGGGCCCCTCCTTGCTGTGGGAGCCGCTCTTTGAGC